ATTACTAAAATTGATTTATTTTTGTAACTATTCTATTGACAATGCAAAAAGATAAATCAAAGAGTTTTTAAAAGTGATTTATTTATTTTTATCGTTCCATATTTTTTAGTCTAAAAAAGAAATTTTTTAAATAAGGTTTGGTTTAATCAACTGTAAAATCAATTTATGGTTTTATTTAATATGTTAAATATATATTTTCTCAATAGTGCGAATGTGTTTTAAAGATTGCCAGCGCTTACAATTAAGATTAATATTGTCGACACTATTAGGTTATAAATGTTATTGAAATTTTAATTTCTGCTTCACGCTTTAAATGAATTTGATTAAAACATGGAGAAATTGGAAATTTTGCAATTGAACCCGTTCAATCATAGTACCGGAAACATTTTCGTTGCGTTTTTTATGATTAATTTTGTTCTACGGCTAATAAAATTTTGCCTCTGTCAACAGCTGAAAAATTGTTTTTTTAATATTTATGTTATTACACAATTATAGCTAAATTTTTTTAATTTTTAAGACCTTGTCTAAAAGTGTACAAAATATTATCAAAAGTAGAATGGAAAAACGTACAAAAGGAGTATTCGCCCCCTGCTTAAACAAAAAGCTCATAGCTTTTATTGATGATTTCAATATGCCACTGCATGACGAATACGGCTCTCAACCCCCATTAGAACTCATCAAATTTTGGATGAGTTATGGTTTTTGGTTTGACCTAAAAACACAAGCTGAAGAAAACATAAAAGTTAATATCTATTTTTATTTACTTTTCCCATTTTGTAATAAGGATTTTAAATTTATGTTTTCTGTTGTTAAACATGAGAAGGTATGAGATATTAAAGTTATGTGAATGCAAATTCTACGTTGACGGTACTTCGCTGCGATGTAGATGCTAAATTTGTGTTGCGTGATGGTTGTAGGAACGATGTTAATCGAAGTTGTTGGCAAACTAGGATCGCTTGTTGGTTGTCCGTGAACGAATTTTTTCTCGATCAATTGAAGAAGTTTTGTTTAACTAAAAGGTTTTTTGACATGAAATCAAAATTTCATTTTATAATATGATTCAAATCATTTAGTGCCGTCTTTCTTTTGATCGAGTAACAAGCTTGCACTCCACGCTGATACTGATTTTTTATTATATTATAATTTAAAAACTCATTACACTGCTTTGTATTGTCGTAGTTCTAGCAGATGAACAAGAAATGTATAGAAATGCTGTTGACTCTTCAAACTGCATGAGTGACATCTTTTCATTTGCAGCAACACTTAATAGTGTTCTTATAGTTGAACTTCTGACCACAGGACCATAGGTTTCTTCATAGTCAATTCCCTTTTCCTGAGAAAAACCTTTTACCACTAGCCTGGGTTTAAAACGTTCAACAGAACTATCTGGATTGTGTTTTACCTTGTAGACATGGTATTGCCTTATGACCTTTTGGAAGGCTTACCAAATCTCACGTATGATTTTCCTCTAATGACTGCATTTTACTGTTCATGGCTTTAAACCATTCATCTTTTTCATCACTTTGAATGGCATCTCTGTAGCCCTCTGGTTCAAGTACTTCACATAATGCAAACATAACAAAAGGATCATAACGAGATGGCTTTTTGATATTATTCCTGTCACGTAAAACCATACCTTTGGTCTTTTGATTACAACAGTCAGATTGATCTTCTTCATCAGATGAAACTGAACTACGGTTGTGAACATCTTCATCAGTTGAAATATTTTCTTTAATCAAAGTTTCTTCGTTTTCATCTTTGATTTCAACATCAATCGAAACTGTATCATCTGAACAACTTTCTTCTTGCAAAATCACTGAATTTGGTTTGACAACCTTCTCATCAAAAATAACATCTCTTGATCGATGCATTTTTAACACGTTTCTTATTCTGATGTCCCATTTGTTTATGGTATAACTGCAATGCATCTTGATCATTGACAAAGTTAACTTCGACTTCAGAATTCAACGGTCTAACAGTTTTTGCAACAAGTTTGAACAAACCTCCATTATTGTTTCTTATTCCAACAACACTTATCACATTGTCATTAAGTAGATGACAACTTCTTGAGGTTGAAACAAAAGAGCTATTTCTGTTCTTATCTTGAGTTGCAAGTACTGAGAACAATTTTTTTTTTTACTTTTGGCACATACAAGACATCTGTGAGTTTAACAGTTTGCCATTTATTATTCACTTTCACTTGAAGGTGAATAATTCCTTTTCCAAAAGCTTCAACAGTATCACCATTTGCAACATATAATTTACTCGGCTGAGAAAATTTTTTAAAACTTTGAAATATGTCTCTTCGAAAAGTTAGATGACACGTTGCACCATTGTCAAAAAACCATTCATCAGTGTACGCTGACTCATTAATTGCAAAAACACTTGATTCCGTAACAACTAGTGACTTATTGTCATCGCGTGGATTGTTATTTTTTGGTTTTGCTGGTCTACCATCAGAATGCCATTTTTCACAATTTCTTACAATGTGACCTGGCAATTTGCAATAATGACATATCAGTCGCTTGGTTTGCTGACAAATTTATCTTGTTTTTGACCTTTCATGTTTAGTGATGACGACTTTTCAGTTGTTGCTTTGACATTGATACTTTATTACATTCAGTTTTGGCTTCCAAAGATCTCTCATAGCTACACAGTTGATCTGTGAGTGTTTCAACTGTTCTTTCAGTCTTATTCCACAACCTCCAACTTGCAGCAAATGAAAAATATTTTTTTGGCAAAGTTTCAATTATTTGGCACGTCAGCAACAAGTCACTGTTTTCTTCTTTTCCTAACTCAACCTTTAAATCTTTCCAAAGATTCTTGAGTTTTGTGACATGAGCGACAACATCATCGTATTCATCCATTTTATAACATTTTGGCATAAGCCATTTTCATCAGCTGTTAATAGATTCAATTTGCATAAGTTGTATGCTTTATCTTCATTAACTTCATCATATAATCTGTAAAGTTCTAACCAAACATCTCTGGCATTACTGAATGAACGAACTTTTTCATACGTTTCATCGGTCATGTTGGTTGACAGAATAATCATAGCACTACAATCTACTCTATTGAATCTGTTCAAAGCAGTTTGATATTTTGCTATCTCATCTTTATTTGAGTCATCGTTTGATTTATCTGAAACTTTTAATTTGCCATTTACTACGTCCATTGCATCAGGAATGCCGCGTAGTATTATACAAACTCTCGATTTTCAGTTCAACCAATTACTTTTGCCTTCTAGGTGTTTGATTTGCACTTTTGTTAGATCCATTTCTTCCTTGTCTTTCAATTTGACCTCCTTTTAATTAGAAGCAAAATAATGACTTTCAGAGAATGAAGAAGCACGTGTTTACTCTTCACTTCAGTCTTCACAAAGGAATCTTACGATATTTCTTTATTCTAAATTTTCTTCGTCAAATCAATTAATTAAGAAAAACGTTATCTGGGTCCAATAACCTGTTAAATTTCTTGTCACGTAGATTGTTTAATTAATTGATATAATATTGAAAGACATTAAAAGAAGAGAAATAAACTAAGCAACGTTCTTGACTTGTTTATTATCAACCGGATCAACAGAAAAGGAAAAGTGAAGTTACATACAAAGCAAAGAAAATAAATTTGGTCCAAAGAAAATAAATGTATATCATAAATCATAATGTTTTAATATAAAACATAAAACTTAACAGACATTAACAGTTTTTCCCAAGAAACCAGAGTAACGAGAGGAAAGTTAAATATTACTAACCAGTTAAACGGCAAACATATCAACATTATCTTATCAAATCCAATACATGCAAATAAAGTTTTTCTTTGTAAATTTTTTCAAAAAATGTTCTTTGTATTGAATTGTGTAAAAATACAAAACTTTGTTTTCCAAATCTTTGTACAAATTAACGTTTTTCTTTCACTTTATAGTTTATTAGTCTTTGAACAAATTTTCAAAATATTGAGTTTCACTTCAATAAATATATTGATTGACGTCGTCTGATTAATGTCGTCTAGTCGAATTTTTGATACATATTTCAGAAG